TCAGTGAATGAAGAGAAAGGAACTGTTTCAAACATATCAAGCTTGGTCTGAAAATGAAAAAGGAAGAAAGGGAGATAATTGTGTCGCAGACCTTATAGAAAGGAATTATGGAAAGTCTCTTGGGGAAGGATAGTCTTCAGGGACCTGTTGAGTGATAGTTCGGAAGCAGCAGGGAAAACCACCAAGCTAACAGTTAAAACCTCACTTTCATTTTTTTGTAAAGTGGAGAATGTCAATTTGTTAGACACTGCTGCCCTCTTTTGCAAAGCAGGTAGAAGACAGCCATCAGGTCTGAATAGACTTTCATTATGTGGGAAAGAAAACAGGGCTTAGGACAGACATGTCAAACACAAGGCCCAGGGGCTGGATGCGGCCCACAAAGTGGTTTCATGTGGCTCGTGAAGCCATCCCGGAAACAGTGAGGGAACGGCCCCCACTGCCTTGGCCCTGGCCCAATGTACAATTTTGTGATGGCCATCTTTGCTGAAACGCATTCAGTCTTAGCTCCATAAGCCCCCCCCCCGCATGGCCTGAGAGGAACAATGAGGCTCCTCCAGTGGACCATGCCTTGGCACTTGCCCTGGTCCCACCCCCTTCTTCCAGAGACCCTCAGAACTATCCCACTCCTGCTCAGCAGTCCACAGGCACACTTGATGCGAACGATGTAGAGTGGCCATGCCCACCCCTTAGGCCACACCCACTCCATCCACACCCATCCAGTAGGCCACACCCACCCTGGCCACACCCACCCGGCCCCCTGAGGGCAACCACAATGCTGATGCGGCCCTCAATGAAATTGAGTTTGACACCCCTGGTTTAGGACAATGTTTCCAATCTCCGGGAGATATCCAGTACTTCCAGGCTGAAAGGAATGAACTCAATAGCCCACCTCAAGAAATAAATAAAAATAAAATAATGCAATATATTTATTCATTGGTACTAGTCTTCATAAAGATTCATTTTGCAAACATTTAATTTATCCATTCAGTTGATAAAAACTATATATATATGTAAACTATAAGCATATTTCTTAAGAACCAGCAGATGCTCATTGTCACAGATGTAATGTGTAGTTCAGCCCTGTTGAGACTGTTATCTATGAAGAAAAATGTAATATAGGGATTGATCAGATTCTTTCCATTCCTACCATCCCATGCCCATACTGTCCTTGTTTGAAAGCCAATGCACATTGGGACATACTAAGGAGGAACAGGAAGAGAAAAGGTGAAATAACAGAGGACTGCTTTTCTTAATCCTTCTCTATCTGAATATCAGCCCTGAAGTCTAGTACTACTTCTTGTTAACCTGGAATTAGTAGCTTGTTCCTCTCTGCAGAGAATGACAGCTTTAATGAAGAACTAAGTTTCATCAGGCAAAGGATCAGAGGTTTTTCACACTTCCTCCCTTGCTTTATCTCACTGTGGACCTCTTGCACAGTAATATGTGGCTGAGTCTGCAGCTGTCAGGGAGCTCATTGTCAAATAATATTCGTTGCGGGAGTCATCGGCAGACAAGGTTGTTCGGCTTTGGAGGGATGAGGCATAGAATGTCCTCCACTTGTTAGCATCCCAGTCTATCTGGCCCACCCATTCCAGTCCTTTTCCTGGAGCCTGGCGGATCCACTCCCAGTATACATTCTTGATAGAGTCACCAGTCACTTTGCAAGTTAATCTGACGGATCCTCCAGGGCTCACTCTTCCTGGCCCAGATTCCACAAGTTGGACAGTGGAGTGGACATCTAAATGAATGACAAAGAAAGAATTATTACACAACCCTATTTTTTTTATCTCATTGTTCAAGTCTACCTGGAAGATACTCACACACAGGAGCTGCTACTAAGCAAAGAAGAAGAATGGCAAGATCCATTGGGCAGTAAGGAAAGCTCATTTTCTTTAGAGCAATGAATCTTTGGCTTTGTGAATCTCTTTTGTGTGTTTGTGGTTATTTAAAAGAGAAACAGTTCAGTGACTTGATTTGCATCTGATTTTCATGGGGAAGTTAAAACCTGTTTATAAGAAAGGTATGTTAAATGTATAAAAGCATCCCGGCCACTGTGCTTTTCATATCTACAGCCCCAACTATTTGTCCTGATTTAATTTAGATAAATTTATGCTAACTTTACTAAATTAAGGGCTAAGAAATAGGGGTGGTGAAATCAGAGGGAGAGGGTCAGGAATGACTAGATGGAATAAATATCAACCTGGATTGAATATGAAATTGAAATGTGGTATTCATTACATCTAAAAAAGGATCATTCCTACCAATTCAATGGATGAAGGTTGGTGCAAAATGACGACATGAAAGGAGAATACAAATTAATGGAGTTGTATATTGTTCCAAAGGGACATTTAAGAGCTGCTGGATGAAATGGGCATTTTTTGCTTGGCTTCAAAAATGTTTCCTCTCAGTGTGTCTCTTCCACAGTAATAGACTGCTGTGTCTTCAGCTTTGAGGCTATTCATTTGCAGATTTAGCTAGCTTTTGGCATCATCCCTGGAGATGGTGAAGTATCTTAGAGCTAAGGAGAAACTTCCTGACAGTTAGAACAATTAACCAGTGGAACAACCTGCCTCCAGAACTGGTGAATGCTCCAACACTGGAGGTTTTTAAGAAGAGACTGGACAGCCATTTGTCTGAAATGGTATAGGGTTTCCTGCCTGAGCAGGGGGTTGGACTAGATAACCTCCAAGGTCCCTTCCAACTTTACTACTACTACTACTACTACTACTACTACTACTACTACTACTACTACTACTACTATTATTATTATTATTATTATTATTATTATTATCCATTCACTTTGTCTGAGTAGTAAATACTTGAAGATCATATATGTAACTAGTAACGTCACGTGACGTGTCACGACATATTGTGACTTTTTCCCATTGCCAGCAATGGAGTGGGTACAGTTCGGTATGATGCATCCGGCCCATGGGTCAGCAGTTTGACACCCTTGTTCTAGAGGGCCTTCATCCTATGTTGTAGACATGCTGCAAAGTCCCAACATCAGTCAAAGCACTTAAGAAATATGTAAAGCAACAGGTTGATTTTTTTAAGAAGGAAAGCCGTATCTTGAAAATTCAATCTGATGCCTCATATGAACATTTAGGGAATATTAAAGCTGGTAGATAACTGTCTAGTTCTCTGCATGATGAAGATGTGGACCACTTTTTGTGGAATTAATTCCCACATTTGCAAGTAAAGAAGTAGAGTCAAAATTGAAATAAGCAGCAAAGGGAGTGGGGGGAATGAAGGAAGAGGCAAAAGACCCCGTCGCCTAAAATTGTAGTCTCTATAGAAAATTGGTACTTGCAGATATTTGCTAGTGCATGAGAAGTAATGGAATTACCTTAGTTAGTAAAATCCTCAGAATATGTTTCATTAGGGTGGAACAAGGCAATTTCATGCACAGGCAACCTAAATATATCAATGAATATAAAAGAGCCATGTTGGCACAGTTGGTTAGGCTACTTCTGCTGGCTGCCGGCTGCCGGCAGTTAGGTAGTTCGATTTTCACATCTTTCCATCCTTCCGAGGTTGGTAAATGGAGGACCTGGACTGTTGGGGATCCTCCTTCCTTCCTTCCTTCCTTCCTTCCTTCCTTCCTTCCTTCCTTCCTTCCTTCCTTCCTTCCTTCCTTCCTTGTGGTTAGAATGCAGTATTGCAGGCAAACTGTGTCCACTGCCAGCACTTCAATTCTCACTAGCTCAAGATTGGCTCAGCCTTCCATCCTTCCGAGGTCAGGAAAATGAGGACCCAGATTGTTGGGGACAACGTACTGATTGTGTAAATCATTTAGAGCGAGCTGTAAAGCACTATTAAGCGGTGTATAAATCTAAGTGCTATTTCTATTTTACAGATGTGTCACAGGCAACGGTTTAAGAAAAGAGGGACTTGGGGGAGCTAATGTACTAATGATAACATAATGTATCACTTGTTACTGGAAATTAGAGGCAAATGTGCTGATGACTGCTGGACATGGTAAATGCAAGCTAAGCAATATTAACAAACCTTGGTAAGGTCATAGGACAGAGGTAGCGAACCTATGGCACGTGTGCCAGAGGTGGCACTCGAAGCCCTCTCTATGGGCACGTGAACTGTTGCCCCAGCCCCACCTTCCACCATAGCCCCCTCCTCACCAGCAGCCCCCCTAGAGGAGAGTCGCTCCCGGGCATGGCCCGCACGGAGCCGCACAGCCAAGTACATAGCCGGGCAAAAGGGACAAGACTCCACTCTTGCACCCCATAGTGTGCAGATGATGCTGAGGGGTGTGGGCAAAAGGCATGGCACTGCAGGGCTGCCTGGGCAATCTGCAGCGGGCCATGGACGCAGTGAGTGGCCCTGTGGGTGGGTGGGTCGGGGGCGGGCAGGCCTGGAGCAGGCAGGTCAGGAGGCAGAGCAGGGGCGGGGGACAGTTTTTGGGCACTTGGTCTCTAAAAGGTTCACCATCACTGTCATAGGATGACCTAACAGGGATTGGCTTAAGATGGGCTTATGGAAAAGTATCTATAAAAAGTGTACTATTGGAGGAGTGGACTTTACACATGCCTATTGGGAATGATCCTCCTGTGTCCTTTCTTCTGCACAGAATAAAGCATTTGTAAATCTACACCTCAGTGTGTGGTTTATTGGGCATTGCACACCAGGCAGAACTGGTTTTCTGGAAAAATAGGGCCAAGCCAATTCCAGAGGACAGATGAATTTTTTAAGGTCATCCCGTATCAAGCCAAACAGTTCCTCAGATTGAAAGCAGCACATTATACGGCCCTTGGAAGTTAATCAGAGGTCCCTGCAAAATTGGTATAATATGTATCCAATAGGAAGCACATCAGAATTACCTTGAATAATCCACCAAAGAAAAAATTAAATCATTCAAAACAGTTGCCCCAATACTGAGCATCAGAGCCTTTCCAACAGAAAATGATGGTTGATAACCATTTTGTGTTTCTTGTTCTTCCATTACATGCATAACAGTTTTTCACACTTCCTCCTTTGCTTTATCTCACTGTGACCTTCGTGCACAGTAATATGTGGCTGAGTCTGCAGCTGTCAGGGACCTCATTGTCAAATAATATTCATTGCGGGAGTCATCGGCAGACAAGGTTGTTCGGCTTTGGAGGGATGAGGCATAGTATATCCTCCAGTTATTACTAGACCAGTCTATCTGGCCCACCCATTCTGGTCCTTTTCCTGGAGCCTGGCGAATCCACTCCCAGTATGCATTCTTGATGGAGTCACCAGTCACTTTGCAAGTTAATCTGAAGGATCCTCCAGGGCTCGCTGTTCCTGGTCCAGATTCTACAAGTAGGATGGTGGAGTGGACATCTAAATGAATGACAAAGCAGGAATTAGTACACAACCCTATTTTTTTGTTTTATCTCATTGTTCAGGTCCATCTGGATGATACTCACACACAGGAGCTGCTATTAAACAAAGAAGACGAAGAATGGCAAGACCCATTGTGCAGTAAGGAAAACTCTTTTCCTTTAGAACAATGACACCTTTGGCTCTGTGATTCCCATTTGTGTGTTTGTGTATATTTAAAGGAGAAACAGCTCAGTGACTTCATTTGCATCTAATTTTCATGTGGAAGTTAAAACCAGTTTATAAGAAAGATGGCTTAAGTCTATCAGACTCAGTTCACAAGTAGAACTTTGTATTTTAACATCTGCAACACTAACTAGTTGTCCTGATTTAATTTAAAATAAATGTAGGACTATCATATCTAAAATGCAAAAATCTGGAGTAGGTGGCAATCAGTCCTGGCCTAGAAGTTGGACTTTGACTGTGGCTGTCACATCTACAACACCAAATATTTCTCCTGATTTAATTTGTATAAATGAACAATAATGTTAGTAAATTGAGGGCTAAAAAATATGGGTGGTGAAATCAGTGGATGGGGGTCAGGAATGAATAGACTGAGTAAATATCAACCTGGATTGAGTATGAAATTGAAATTGCATAAAAAAAGAGTATTATTCCTATACATTGAATGGATGAAGCTTGAAGTGCAGAATGAAGACATGAAGGGAGAATCCAAATTGATGAAGTTGTTTTTGTTAGAAAAGTTTACAGAGCTGCTGTGTGAAATGGGCAGTTTTTGCTTGGCTTCACATATAGTTCCTCTCACTGTGTCTCTCACACAGTAATAGACTGCCGTGTCTTCAGCTTTGAGGCTGTTCATCTGCAGATACAGCTGGCTTTTGGCATTGTCCCTGGAGATGATGAACAGTCCCTTCACTTTGTCTGAGTAGTAAGTACCAGAACCGGTGTTTATGAATGCCACCCATTCCAGTCCTTTCCCTGGAGCCTGTCTCACCCAGCCCATCCAATAGCCGCTGAAGGTGAATCCAGAGGCTTGGCAGGAGAGACGGAGGGACCCTCCAGGTCTTCTCACATCCCCTCCAGATTCCACCAACTGGACCTCAGATTGGCCACCTAGAAAGAAAGCTTGTTTAATAAGACCTTTTGCAGGTAAACACAAGAAACAGAGGAATAACCACTTTCTTTGGAGGCAAAAATAATACCTCTGAGGACAACTAACAAGGACAGGAGGTGTAGCCATGGTGCCATTTTTGCTCACTCAAAAGATTGGAGGACCCTTAAGGATGGGAAAACATTCAGACAAGCCCTTAACCTTTGTGATTTTGAGTGCAGCAGGAGAGCAGGATGATATGGTTCCTTTGAACAGGAAGCTGTCACTGAATTTACATAGCCCTCAAGATAAAAGATCTGCATACTGCTTTGACCTACTAGAGTTCCTTCATGCTATATTGAAGACATGATTAAAAAGTTCCACGTCATTCAAAGTACATTTTTTTCTTAATCTTTAAGAAATATGTGTAGCAACAAGTTGATTTTACAAAAAGCAAAGTCATGTCTTGAAATTTCAATTGGACGCATCATTTGAGGAATTTAAGAATTGGCAGATAAATAGTGTCTAGTTCTCTAATATGCTGCATGATGGAAATGCATATAAACAGCTGATAACTGTTCTGTGGTTTTTATTTATTTCCATAGGCAGGACAACAACTTCCCTCCACATAAAAATAGCAATGGCAGACATAATAATAATAATAATAATAATAATAATAATAATAATAATAATAATAATAATAATAATAACCCCCAGTGAGGCACTACCTTGACGTGGTTGTGGGGCTTGTGTACTCTGAGGAAGATGAGAGCTATGCTAGAGGTTCAACCATACTGGACAGGTCTCATCAGAGGAGTCAGACAAAGAGTGTCTCTCCCATAAAAAATATGGTGAGACGTAAATTTCAGAATGCCATACCGGCTCGGACGTCGCCCGGGTTAACAAGGTCCGCACTAGATATTGGAGTTCCTGGATATCTGGTGAAAAATGGGTTACAGGACTCAGGACTGTTGGCTGAGCAACCAGGGCCAGCAGCTGCAGAACTACTGGAAGAAAAGGTGTTTACCCGTCGCAGATACACAGTGATGGAAAACAAAGAAATAATGATCTGTTACTACAGATCAAGTCCAACAAGAAGAGGATATCTAAAACGAATGCACCAGTTCTGGAAAGAACAACATCCAGAATCAGAAATAACAGAACAGAGACTAGCAGATCAACGCCGATTTATAACACGAAATAAAATATTCACAGAAACAGAATTGGACGAACTGCAAAGGTTTACCCAGGGCAAAGAAATCAAAGCCTTACCAGAAGTAATTCAGAATGTAGAGGCAAACCAGGGGGAGTTGGCAGTGAAGGAATCTAGCAGAGATATACAACTGTTCTCATTTGGAAACCAGGCACCTCTTCCTCAGGAAGAACAAAACCCTCTAACTAAAGAAATAAAAGAATTGAAACAAAGAATAACTGAGCATCTAGAACAGCACAAAAACAACAGAATAAGGCTACCTGCATTGAAGCTTGTTCCAAAGAAACAGCTAGCACAAGCATTAAAAGATGCAAATACTGCAATATCAAGTATAAGCACCAATTCACTGCAAGAAACAAACCAACTAATGTACAGCACAGCTGCAGTTATAACAGAATACCTGGGATGCAAAATCAACAAAGAAGAAAAACAAACAAACAGTGCACCAGAAAAATGGAAGGTTAGACTAGAAAATAAGATCAGCAAGTTAAGATCACATGCAAGCAAGCTAGAACAGATGAAAGAAAAGAAGCTGAAGAACAAGAAGACCAAAGAATACCTAATCAAGAAATACCACTTAGAAACAAGGAAGATCAAGGAAGCACTGGAAATAATAAAGCAACAAATAACAGCTATAGCCAGGAAAATCAGTAGATATGAAGCTCGAATTGCAAACTATAGGCAGAACCTCCAATTTCAATCCAATCAGAAACGTTTCTACCAATCCATCAATGGAGAAACTGCAAGGAATCAGTCAGTACCTGACAAGGAAGAAACAGTGCAGTTCTGGAAGCAGATATGGGATAACCCAAAGAAATACAACAAGGATGCGGCTTGGTTAAAAGAGGTGGATGCAAATAAAACAGAAGTTGAAATGAAAGAACTAGTAATAACAACAAAAATGGTAGAAAAAAGAGCAAAGAAAATCAAAAATTGGTCAGCACCAGGTGAAGATGAACTGCATGGGTTTTGGTTGAAACATCTAACTGTTATACACCCACTCATTGCCAACAGTTCAACAATATACTACAAGGAGGAGAAATTGAAAAGTGGCTAACAACTGGGAAAACCTACCTAATAATGAAAAATCCAGCAAAAGGGGCAACACCAGGTAACTACAGGCCAATTACCTGCTTACCAACAACTTTCAAATTACTAACTGGTGTAGTAGCTGATGCAGTACAACAGCATCTAGTTGAAAACAATCTCTTTCCACCTGAGCAGAAAGGAAACCGCCCCAATAGCAGAGGAACAAAAGATCAACTCCTAATAGACAAAATGATCTTGGAAAACTGCAAGAGAAGGAAGACCAACCTGAATGTGGCATGGATTGACTACAAAAAGGCATTTGACTCTCTGCCACATGATTGGATAATAAAGTGCCTAGAAATAACAGGAGTCAGTAGAAACATCAGAAAATTTGTGCAAAGATCGATGGCACAATGGAAGACACAGTTGCAGATCAATGGTGAGAGGCTGGGAGAGGTTAATATCAAGAGAGGAATATTTCAAGGAGATTCATTATCACCATTACTATTTGTTATTGCACTGTTTCCTCTGTCAACAATACTGAATAACTCAGGACATGGCTATCAAACATCAAAAACATCTGCCAGACTATCCCACCTCCTTTATATGGATGATCTGAAGCTGTATGGAAAAACATCATCTGAAATAGAATCGCTGCTCAACACTGTCCGTATATATAGCCAAGATATTGTAATGGAGTTTGGCTTGGACAAATGTGCCACACTTACTATCAAACAAGGAAAAATAGTGAAAACTGAAGGAATCAAGATGCCCCACGAAAATAACATTAAGAGTCTGGATGAGGAAGAGTACTACAAATACTTGGGTATCCTTCAAGCTGACAACATCAAGCACACTGAAGTCAAGAAAAAGATTAGAGGTGAATACATCAAGAGAGTGAAGAAGATCTTAAAATCCAAACTCAATGGAGGAAATACCATAAAGGCAATCAACACCTGGGCAATCCCAGTCATTAGGTACACAGCTGGAATAGTGAACTGGACTCAAGCAGAACTAAAAGCAATGGATAGGCAGACCAGAAAAATAATGACAATGAATCATGCCCTTCATCCACGCAGTGACATTGATAGACTTTATCTACCAAGGCAAATAGGTGGGCGTGGAATGCTACAAGTACATCAGATGGTTGAAGAAGAAAAAATGGCTTTGGAAGAATATCTGAAGAACAATGATGAAGATGCACTGAAATTAGTATATCAGGAAGGCTTACTAACTACTGGAGAGACCAAACTGGCCTACAAGAAAGACCAAATGAAGAACAGAATAGAGGCATGGGAAGACAAAGCACTACATGGCCAATACATGAAAAAAATAGCTGGGAAAGCAGATAACAATAAAACCTGGCAATGGCTAAGAGCAGGAAAATTGAAGAAAGAGACCGAGGGACTAATTCTGGCTGCACAAGACCAAGCCTTAAGGACAAATGCATACAAAGTCAAAATTGAGAAGACAGCAACAGACAGTAAGTGCCGCCTATGCAAAGAAGCTGAAGAAACAGTGGACCACTTGGTAAGCTGTTGCAAGAAGATTGCACAAACTGATTACAAGCAGCGGCATGACAAAGTAGCAACAATGGTGCATTGGAAGATCTGCAAAAAATATCATTTGCCTGTAAGCAAAAACTGGTGGGATCATAAAATAGAGAAAGTCATAGAAAATGATAAAATTAAACTGCTCTGGGACTTCAGAATTCAAACAGACAAGCACCTGCAACATAACACCCCAGACTTAACAATTGTCGATAAGAAAGACAAAAAAGTCTGGATAGTGGACGTGGCAGTGCCTGGAGATAGCAGAATAGAAGAGAAAGAACTGGAGAAGATAACAAAATACAAAGACCTACAAATAGAAATAGAAAGACTGTGGCAAAAGCAAGCAAGGGTAGTACCAATAGTCATAGGCTCCTTGGGTGCAATCCCAAAACAACTGGAGCACCACTTGAACACCATTGGCATTGACAAATTCGCTATTAGTCAATTGCAAAAGGCGGCCTTATTAGGAACTGCTTCCATCCTGCGACGATATCTGTAATACCATCAAACATCCACATCTGCCTATCCCAGGTCCTGGGTAAGGACTCGATAGGTAGACAAAATGCCAAATCCAGTCTGAACATCTGGCTGACTGTGCGATGATCGATAATAATAATAATAATATCAAGAGAGGATATTTCAAGGAGATTCATTATCACCATTACTATTTGTTATTGCACTGTTTCCTCTGTCAACAATACTGAATAACTCAGGACATGGCTATCAAACATCAAAAACATCTGCCAGACTATCCCACCTCCTTTATATGGATGATCTGAAGCTGTATGGAAAAACATCATCTGAAATAGAATCGCTGCTCAACACTGTCCGTATATATAGCCAAGATATTGTAATGGAGTTTGGCTTGGACAAATGTGCCACACTTACTATCAAACAAGGAAAAATAGTGAAAACTGAAGGAATCAAGAAGCCCCACGAAAATAACATTAAGAGTCTGGATGAGGAAGAGTACTACAAATACTTGGGTATCCTTCAAGCTGACAACATCAAGCACACTGAAGTCAAGAAAAAGATTAGAGGTGAATACATCAAGAGAGTGAAGAAGATCTTAAAATCCAAACTCAATGGAGGAAATACCATAAAGGCAATCAACACCTGGGCAATCCCCGTCATTAGGTACACAGCTGGAATAGTGGACTGGACTCAAGCAGAACTAAAAGCAATGGATAGGCAGACCAGAAAAATAATGACAATGAATCATGCCCTTCATCCACGCAGTGACATTGATAGATTTTATCTACCAAGGCAAATAGGTGGGCGTGGAATGCTACAAGTACATCAGATGGTTGAAGAAGAAAAAATGGCTTTGGAAGAATATCTGAAGAACAATGATGAAGATGCACTGAAATTAGTATATCAGGAAGGCTTACTAACTACTGGAGAGACCAAACTGGCCTACAAGAAAGACCAA